AATCTAGAGGTAGAAATATACTTACACGAAATCAAAAACAACACACCAATTAACCACTCACAAAATCGATCTAAATATCTATTAAAAATACAAGTTGAAAGACAATTAAAATAACAAATCAACTCAAACAACCAATCTATCATAAAACCTCAGACTCATCATGAAACCTCGCGGTTATTAGCTAACTCCTTTTATTTTTAACAAATCACACAAATAATCAACCATCTTGAAAATGTTATTTACATCTACACAACCTCAACTTTTTCTTCCAAAATCTACTGGGTTACTACCATATAGTTTGAGCTTCTTAAAAGTCTTAATCTTAAAACTACACGAGACTTAACTCATAACTTAGTAATAATGTTCCAATCTTTGCATAAATAGGATTAAGTATATATCTCAATTTGAGAACCAACAGACAATCTATATTCAGGAAGAAATTAACTTACCCCAAATAGCAAATTTGTTAAATTTTGTGGCAAAGATGAAAATTTTACTAAAATCAAAGTAGGACAACACAAAAACCAAAAAAAGGTGAACACTTTTCAATTTCACACAAGGGAAAGAAAGAAGGACTAAGAGAGAAGAGCAAAAAAACATCAAGAAAAAGAACAAGAGCCTTAACAATTAAAGTGCTTTCAGAAAATGATACACATATCAACATTGGGAATTTGTGTGTGTGTGTGTGTGTGTATGTGGCCTAGTGGTTAAGGCTTAGGTCCTAAGAGTGTGCTCCTCTCAAGGTCTGAGGTTTGAATCCTAATAGGCACTAATTGCTTATTAAAAAAATTTGGGAATATAAGACCCGATTTCAATTTCAATTTTGAAATTCATCGTTCAATCGAAGGGTCACTTTTTTTCATTCAAACTTCTCAGCTTGTATGTGGATATGTATCTCTATATGTATACAAATTTTTTCTTCATGAGATAGTTCAGACCTATATAAAGTTCAGATCTTTAACCATATTTTATCTTCAATTTCAGGTTAGTTTTCTTTCATTGGCCTTAAACTCATGTGGGTTTCTCTTGTTTTTGCTTATACACATATGTATTACTTCGTGTGAATCTCTCAACCCTTATCTCTTTATATTTATGCTATTTACTCTTATTTTCATTTACTTATTTATTACACTGCATATTCTTTGTTTGTTTTATAAAATTGTTTTAAACAATTTTATTTATCAAAGAATTTTTAATTGGACATCATTTTTCAAACCCACACAATTCACCCCCTTTTTGTGTTTAAAGTCACTTAACTAACACTTGTATGCGTATTTATGGGGAAAAATGATTGTCCTTTAGAAATTAGGGTATTCACGTAACACTTTTTGGGGTGGGTCACAAGAGGTTTTCCCCAGTTGCCTTAGTAGGAACATGGGAATGAGGAAGAGTGATTCCTCCGCAAATCATGGGAGGAAGATTTTCCCTTTTGAAATATTTTCCAAATAGTTACGACTTGAACACCTCACTGACCATGTATGGTAAGCGAATGAAATAATTCAGGCAATACCTAACCCAATTGGGCGGCATGTTGCCTTATTTCAGGTGGCATAACAGATATCTCAGATTCAAGAATTGGGGCATAAATCTTATCTAATCCTTGATTCAAAAGATAAAAGTGTGTTTTTTGAGTTTCAAGAAAAGTCCACGAAGAAGGAGATCATTGAGAAACTCAACGAAGTAATACATATGTCGAAAGATGAAGGGATGTATTCAAGAATATTAGAAGACTTATAATCTTCTTCATTAGAAGAAATAAATGAAGGATCAACATCAGAGATTTCTTTTGAAAGAATAATCATGACAAATGAACGATCATATAAAGAATCATCATTCAATGGAAATGATGATGAAGCTTCATCTAGTGGAAGATTTGAAGAAGCTTCATACAATATATGATTTAAATAAGTTTAATCCAAAAGAGTATCCAAAGAAGCTTCATCCCGTAGAACACATGAAGAAGTTTCACATAGTAGAATCTTTGCGAGAAGAAATGACAAAAAAGCTTTATAAAAAAGAATCTTTAAAAGGTCAACATCAAGAACGTGTGGAGATTCACCTAAAACATATGTAAATTCAAGAAACTCATGCAATTATGTCTTCAACAATATATCCTAAATAACACATCATAAGATTCTTTTGAAATATCCTCTCAAAGAATGGAATCCGACAAAGAGGAACACACATGCTTCAAAACTAAAAAAGAAAATAGTGACATTGAGATAACAAATCTAACGTATAAGCAAATGTTCAAGCTAAGTGTTAAACTTAGTAAATATAATTATAAAAGAACATCGTTGAATTTGGAGAGTATATTGAATTTCTTAAAAATATTAATAAAATTATTGGTGAAGAAATAACCGATATTAGAAATCAATGGCGTTTATAATAGAGAAAACGATTATGGGACTTTTACCTTTCTGTGTGGCTTTGGATTGGCTGGGGGATATTATGCTTGCAGCCAACACCTTGCTGGCATATTTTCTCTGGGAGGAATTGGAGTTTCCTCTATTAGCGAAATCTCCAACAATGGTGTTTACTGTGACACTTGTATCTTTCTTGGGCATTTTCGAGAGAAAAACGATGAAAGTGTTGATGGTAATGAAAGGTGTGACTCATGTTAGCTTTACCAGGGCCCTACAGTGGGTGTCACTGTACTTTCTAAAAATTGTACAAATGCGTAACAATCCTTAGCTGATAAGAATTGCTAGAGGCTTTAGTATTTATCTGGGATTAGAGCAAGCTTAGGAGGGTGAGAAACTCTGTTTTATGGGTGTTTTATGTGAATATCTAATTTTCCCTTCTCAATCTTAATGTGGAAGTATTTATAGGGACTTCTGGACCTGAATTTTAGGGTTTCTGATATGTAGCAACTGCTTAGAAAGAGAGGGAGTTGGCCGTTGCTTTCCTATTTCCTATGGAAATATGAGTTATTCCCCAAACTCCTTTTGTGCTCCACTCATGATCAAGACACATCACCCTTCCATGGTCTCCTACTCCATACGAATGGTACGTAGGCGATGTCATCCAGTCGCCCTTTACAAATTTTTACAAATTTATTAGTGTGTAGTCTCCATACTTTTCATGATGTTCCTATGTTTATTGCTTATTTGTTAAATAATGAAATGATATAAATTGATTTTTCTGTAAAATAAAAGTTCCTACCATTTGTTATATTCCATCTCATCTCAAATCTTTAGAAAACTTAATAGTTAAATATGATAAACTATTTTACACTACCATCTAATTAAATTATATAAAAATATTGTTTTTATATATTAATTTTCAAAGTACTTTCACAACATATTTGATATGATTTGATTGTACACTTAAAATAATTTTATACGATGAATATCTTGTATTAAAATATATCTTGCAAATCAATATATTAATATGCAAAACAAAAATAGATAAAATCGACTATAAACAACAGAAGTACAAGATACAATAGAAGTACAAGATGTGTTCAGAAAACAAACAAAATCGATTATAAACAAAGGCGAAAGGAAAACAAAATATTTAAAAGCCAAAGACAATATCAGTATAGAGATAGAGACAGAAACATATCTACACGAGAGAAAAAAAAATAACAGACCAACCAACCACTCATAAAATCGATCTAAATATCTACTAAAAATACAAATCAAAAGACAATCAGAAAAAATAAACCAACTCAAACAACCAATCTATCCCAAAATCTTAGACTCATCATGCAACCTCAAACTCATTGCCTAACTCCTTTTATTTTTAGCAAATCACACAAAGAATCAACCATCTTGAAAATGTTCTTTACATCTACACAACCTCAATTTTTTCTTCCAAAATCTTTTGGGTAGCTACCATATAGTTTGAGCTTCCTAAAAGTCTTAATCTTAAAATTACATGAGACTTAAGTCATAGTTTAGTAATAATGTTCCAATCTGTGCATAAATAAGATTGAATATATCCTAATTTGAGAACCAACAGACAACCTAGATTCAGCAAGAAATTAACTTACCCCAAATAGCAAATTTGTTTAATTTTGTGGTAAAGATGCAATTTTTGCTAAAATCAAAGTAGGACAATTGAAAAACAAAACAAAGTTGAACAGTTTTCGATTTCACACAAGGGAAAGAAAGAAGGACTAATAGAGAAGAGTAAAAAAAAACATCAAGAAGAACAAGAAGAGTCTTCACGATTGAAGTGCTTTCAGAAAACGATACACATATCAACATTGGGAATCTAAGACCCAATTTCAATTTCAATTTCAAATTCATCATTCAATCGAAGGGTCACTTTTTTTTTTTCATTCAAACTTCTCAGCTTGTATGTGTGTATATATCTCTATATGTATACAACTTTTTTCTTCATGAGATAGTTCAGAGCTATTCAAAGTTCAGATCTTTAACCATATTTTATCTTCAATTTCAGGTTAGTTTTCTTTCATTGGCCTTAAACTCATGTGGGTTTCTCTTGTTTTTGCTTAATACTTTGTGGGGCTTAACAAAGCCAAGACCTTGATTATGAATGATGAATCTTTTTGTTTTACCAATTTGTCTTATAGTAATAATCACTTGATTTTCTAATCATGAAAGTTCTTGATTTTGAAATTGAATCATTGTTGTGAATAAGATTGATGATACTTATGATTCCTTATGTTGTAACTTTTAGACTTTTGTTCTTCACTAAATTCGTTAAGTGATTCTTCATTAGTCCTCTGATGTGTTTTGGACATGTTTTGTTTGAATTGATTGCTCCTTAATCTTGTGTTGTAAACTTGGTGATGTTATATTTGGGATTTTGATTTATGTTTCTGTGTTTGATACATTCTTGTTTGATCTGTTTTTCTTGATTTCTCTGCGGATTGTGGATTGAGTTATCATCACTAGTTCAAATCGAGAATCGTAACAGGAATTGTGAGATTATGCAAAATTCATGAAAATCTTTTTGAACAGTATATCTTGATCATTGTATTACTATTATGCTTATATCAGGGGCGATTAGTTAGTGAATAGATTAATATGCGGGATATTGAGAAGTTGAATAACCGAGGATCTACAAAGGCTGGCAACACAAAGGAACATATCAAGTTAAAGGTAGATTCACCGCGATTCAAAAGAAGCAGCACGAAAAGCCAAGGGAAGAATCGCAAACTGAAATCAAAATCTCGTAAACTCAGAGGTTCCACAAATGCGTTGGCGAAAACAGCTATTGATTCTTCCGTCAAGGCGCCAAACAAGAATTCTTCAAATAAAAGATTGATTATTAGACAAAGTCTACATAAAACTGATAGGAATTCAAAACAGGTTCAGCCTAAGATAAATATACAAGGAGGAAAAAATTCTCCAAATAATGATAGGGAAAGCGAGAAAGACATTGATCAAGAGACAAATATTCAAAAGCGTAAGAGAAGAAGAAAAAAGAAAAGAGAACGACTTAATGTGGAAATTGATGACACTTCACGCCTTCAGAGAAGAACAAGGAATCTGTTAATCAGAATGAAGCTAGAGCAGAACCTTATTGATGCTTACTCCGGAGAAGGTTGGAAAGGTCAGAGTCGAGAGAAGATTAGGCCGGAAAAGGAGCTACAAAGAGCAAAGAAGCAGATTATAAAATGCAAGCTTAGTATCCGTGATGCCATTCGCCAGCTTGATTCTCTAAGTTCAGTTGGTAGCATTGAAGGTTCTGTTATTGCTACAGATGGATCGGTTTATCATGAACATATATTCTGTGCAATTTGCAAGATGCGTGAAGCTTTTCCAGATAATGATATTATACTCTGCGACGGCACTTGCAATCGCGCGTTTCACCAAAGATGTCTTGATCCTCCTTTGGATACTGAAAACAGTGAGTTCTGATTTATTCTTGTATGTGAACCTTTAATATGCCGACTTTTCATTGAGAAAACTTATCATTTAATTATAAATTGCAGTTCCTCCTGGAGACCAAGGCTGGTTTTGCAAGTTTTGTGAATGTAAGACTGAAATACTCGAGGCAACAAATGCGCATCTCGGGACTCGTTTCTCCTTAGACAGTACTTGGCAGGTTTTTATTTATTTGCTCTATTACCCTTGCCTCTTGCTATACCAAATGTTCATATTTTTCGTTTCCTTCAATTGGTTTAAATAATAAATGGCTTTTTCTTCCATAAATTAAGGATGTATTCAAGGAAGAAGCTGCTATTCCCGATGGTGACACGGGATTATTAAATCAAGAAGAAGAATGGCCGTCAGATGATCCTGAAGACGATGACTACAATCCAGATATGAAAGAAGACAGCCACGGTGGCAACAACACAGATGGAAATGATGATAATGCATCTGATGATTCGAGTAGTTCTGGTAGTATGTGGTCATTAAATGGAGAATGTTCTCTGTTAGATGAAGGTCTTGAATATTATTCTGTTAGTCATGGCTGCATAGATTCCGATGAATCCGGGGAAATAGCGTGTGGTCGTAGGCAGCGTACAGCTGTTGACTACTTGAAACTTTATGATGTGAGATGAGTATATCAGATGAAGTTGTTGTAAACTATTTCTATAAGCTCTTCCAAACAGTATCGCAAGTGTTTATGCTACTTAATAAGCTCGAATTTGTCCATCTAGTTTAATTTAAGTTCCTATCTTTTCAGGAAATGTTTGGGAAGGATGCACAATATGAACAACTGAGTGAAGACGAAGACTGGGGTCCGGTAAAAAGACCGCGAACAGCAAAGGAGTCTGATGCTGTTAATACACTTATGGCTCTGCACGAGATTGAAAACAAACATCAGAATAATGAAAACAAACATCCGAATAATGAGAACAATGGTAGAATACGAGGGAATTCTGCTGGCATAAAAAGACCTTGCTTCAGGATTCCACATGATGCAGTTGAGGTATTAATTGATAGCCACTCATTCTATCATATTTCTTTATTGTTATCTTCAACAGTCCCAACCGAGAATAAATATATAATGTATACAGTTATATATGCTAACTCGTGTCCGTTATGAAATGTTCCAGAAGCTTCGCCAAGCTTTTGCAGAGAATGAGCTTCCTCCAAAATCCGTGAAGGATGCCCTTTCGAAAGAGTTGGGTCTTGATGCTGCAAAGGTTATTCCTGCCCTTTTACATATTTCACTGCAAATCTTATTTCGTTATTTGCATTGCTTTTTGGTCTTCATTCGTGTCGTGCAGCTCTTCATTTATCCAAACTTCCTGTTATTAACATGCTAGAAAATACAGGTTAACAAATGGTTCAAAAATGCACGTTACTCGGCACTTAAAACTAGAAAGGTAAGCTTTAGTACTATGCTATGCTTTTTGTTAGTTTCAAATCCTATAACAAGGTGTCTTTTTATCGTAGAAATTGATAAACTGTTTTGTTCATGAAATTTGCAATAAACTCTGACATACGTTGGTTTTGTTCAGTATCGAGAAGGAGGAAAACAGCTACAGAGTTTCACTTCTAAGACCTCAAAGGATTGCACATCACAACAGGTGCAGGAAGATGAGATTTTGAAACCAAAGGTCAAGAAAATCACTGTGATTCGTTCCGTGAAGAAGTGTGAAAGTGTTACCGGCAAAGAGAAATCAAAGGCATCTAGCAGTCTTTTGAAGAAAAAGAAACCAGAAATACCTCCACCCTTGAGAGAAAAAAACGGCAACAAGGTGTTTTTTACTTATCCAAATGTCATTTTATGTGAGCATTTGTGTTCTTGAAAACAAACATTTCTGGATTAACTATTTAAAAGAATGGACAAATTGTCTTGCAGTCAATATGAGATGAAAACAAGTTCTACGGTGGTGCACCTAGATAGGTGGATTACCGTGCACTGGTACTTGAAAATTATCCAAAACACTAACGATGACCGACCTATCTTCTAGAAGTACATAGTTGAATTTGCCTGAGAGGTGGCCGGCATCGTTGGATGATTTATTCATAATTTATTGCATTTTCTGTCATAACGCGTTAATGTTTAATTTTCAGGATTTGACGGAGGACAATGGCGATGTAAGCTTGATGAAACTATTGAAAGAAAGGAAAAGGAAGGTAAGTTTTGCATTTGAAGGAGACTCTAAGGAAGCAGAGTTGGAGCTTGAAAGACTCACCAAATTGAAGATGAAAGTAGATAGATTGAAGCAAAGATTAACTCAAGTTCAAAATTACAGATCAAAGGGTTCAGAAGATGTAGTTTGTTTGAATGAGCCATCTATTATGTATGTGCCTGTAGCTGAGTTAAGGGAAAAGGTTAAATAGAAAACTATATAGATTATATACTGTTAGTTTTATGTACCTGCTTTTTACTTTGTACAATGAAATGAAGTAACCGTTTTTACGTTATACATAATTTGTCACTGGATTATATTGGCCGCATCTACAAACCAAAGCTCATATCAAAGATTGGTCCTCTCATATATAATTTTCCAGACTCATTTTTCAAGGAGAGAATCGTTGAAAGTGATTAAAGTTTTTATATTCCCAACCCGTCCTCCGATAAGTCTACAAATCCTATCACATTTAATACAATTGATTTTTCTCTCATTCTAATAGCCTCTCCATAAGAATTGTTTGAACATAAATTCGAGTTTAGAGACAATACCTGACAAAGCTTTGAAGAAGGAGAAAAACTAAACTATGATGGGTGACAAGACTGATTTTAAGATAACCACACGACCGTCGAAAAATAAATATTTATGTCTTCAATTTGACAATCTAGATATTATAGTATCACACATAGGATGACACGTCTTCTTTGATCTTGGATTTACATCAATCAGAATTCCAAGATAACTCAACCGAATGGCTCGTACCTTTCAATTTAAAACATTGGTTGCGTCTTGAAGTCAACATTGACAAATATTTATTCCCATAAGCGAGTTCTTCTCAAAGTTGACTTTTAAACCCAACATCATCTCAAATAAAATCAAATTTTCCGTTATGATCCTAATATTCCCTCAATTCTTTGCTCCAATAACTAAAGTGGTGTTTGCGTACTAGAGCTGTGAAAACAATCATCTCCTCTTTCAAATCTATATCCATAGAAGTTCCCCAACTTAATTGCCCTTTTCTTAAAAATATTAAAGTCTTCTGCGACTAGAAGAAAAATGAAAGGAGATAGGGGTTCCTTTAGCCTAATTCCTCTACCAACAACATTAAACTCTTTTGTAGGGTTGTCATTCACCAATACAAAAATCGTTAATGTCTTTATGTACTCTAAGATTCAAATCAATAATTTCTCGTGAAACTCCATCTTAGCCATTACACAATCTAGGAAGTTCCAATCTACTCTGTCATAATCCTTTTCAAACTCGATCTTGAATATAAGCATGTCCGGTTTCTTACATTTCGCTTCGTCCACGACTTCATATGCAATTAAGACACCATCGAGAATATGTCAGCTTGACATGAATGTGTCGATTTCAATAAATGTTATAATTTAGTTTTGATAGGTTATACAAATGTGTCGATTTCTCCCTCTTGGTCTTAACTTTCTCATTAGACAAACCCATGACTTCTCCTTTTAAAAATTTTGGGAATGATTTCCCTATCACTCCTTTAACCATTTTTTTATTTGTTTGAACTTCTCTTTAACATATCCCACCTCTTCTGTGACATATCTCTTCATTGCTCTCTAACATAATTATAATACTATTTTATAGATTAGAATCGTCTGCAGTTGAGTTTTCATGCAATCACACATTCGAATAAATTTGAACAATTTGAAAAAGATCCAATGGCTCATAATATATCCGAATAAAAATTATTTAATTTTTTGAATACAAGGAATCTAAATCCATCTTTTACTTTCTTCCAACACGTTAACATAAAAAAAGTTTTATTCTCCGTTTCAGTTTGATTCACTCAAAATTTCAATTATGACAAACTTCATTTTTTTAAAAGCATTGAGATGATGATTTGATTGATGTTAATTGAACTAAAATATGGAAAACTAATTAGTTGAGTTTGAAGGTTTTTAAAAAGGATTGAGATGATGATTTGATCGGTGTTAATTGAACTAAAACTTGGAAAACTAATGAGTTGAGTTTTCAAACATATTTATTATCTTTTATTTTTGTCAAACTACTTTTCAAATGATTTTAAGTACCGGTTCACTATGAATCACTAGCCCATCCTATAACTCACTTAAAAATAAATGTTGATGTTCATTAAAATGAGATATTTTTTAGAAGAAAAAGAATAAAGCTAGATAAATGTCTACTAAAGTAAATTTGTACTTTCTCATAATTTTCAAAAATTGTGATCAGAAAAGTGGAGGGTCTACAGAACTAGTGGCTAGTCATAGGGAAAACTCTAGTGAATCAAAACATAACTAGAAGACTGGTTTGATAGGCATTGTAGCTGAAAGGTATTCCACTCTACAATAATAGATGAGTAAAATGAGCATATAGAAAACAATTATGTTTAAATTGCTGGGGGCACAAAATTAATTTTGATAGAATTGATTTTAACAAAATTAAATTTAATATAATTAAATTATATTTGAATGTATTTACGTAAAAAAATGCCTTGAACGATAAATGTTATGGTGGAAGATATATTTACTATAAAATTGTGATAATTAAGCTTCTTTGATTAATGTCTTGTACTCTTTGGTTTGACTTTTGTCTTTACCAAACATACGACACAATTAGTCACATAACATTTTTATTTTATTTTTTAATACAAAAGAGAGTGTGATGACAGTGAGAGAAAATAAAAGAAACTAATGAAAAAATAGAGAATTTCTTACCTCATTTCATGTGGTCAAGGAACATCTTATGTAATTTCGAATTTATATTTTTGAAAATCAGAAATATATTTTTAATTCGCATCATATTTTTCACAAAACATGTTAAATGTAGTGTTGTCCTTCAAAATGGAAAAAATAGTATCGGAAATATACTTCCGGATATAAATCGGAAATTTGTTTCTGATTTTATTAGCGGGAAGATTGAATTTTTTTGCCACCTTGACATTTCATATAGAACCAGAAGTATATTTCCGTTTTATGGAATATGCAGGTTACTTAAAATAGTAACTGGTATGGTCATGTTTGATCACCACCATTTCTTCTTTCTTCTCTAAAAACCTCACAAAAACCCTCATCATTCTCAACCCATTTTTCACTCCAAATAATCATTTTTCTGGTTCATCATATCAGAAAGAGCTCAAGGAAGTAGAATTTCAGGTAAAGCTTATTCATTTCACCCCTCATTCCCTACATTAATCTGTTCTTTTTTGCAAAAAAAGGTTACGTACAAACCGAAAGTATACTTCCGGTTGTTAGTTGTACAGAACCGGAAGTTAATTTTCGGTTTCTGTCTGTGTTTATTTTGACAACAATCTGTCAATGTGACATGTTAATAAATTTTGTGTTTTATCTACCATTAGGTATGGTGCACCCCGATAATAATCTCAAACCTGATGTGTCTCAAGTTGTTTAGCCTATTATGGTTTCTCCTCTCGCAATTAAGGTGGTAGATATTCAAGAGCAATTTGAAAATGTTGAAGAATTTGAATTATGTGAAGACATGTTGTAGTTGATTCGTATAGAGGCTACAAAACTAGGATTTGGTGTTGTGATTAGAAGGTCTGATAATGGTATGGATAGAAGAAAATCATGGATGCATGACATGTTATCATAAATTCATCTACAAAAGAGATATACGCAAATGCAGTTTTACAGTCCAGGAATGTTTGCGTGGAATATTCTGATCTATTGAAATATGTTGAAAGCACAATTCTTGATAAGGTTAAGGATAAGGTTGTTTGTGCTTGGACCGATCAGGTTATGCACCTCGGTAATACAACAACAAACTGAGTTGAGTCTGCGCATGCATGTCTGAAGAATTGGCTGGGAAATAGTAAGGGTGATTTGATTACGGGTTTGGAATCTATGAACTAGATGCTACTAAACCAGCATAACAAGATACAAACAACATTTGGTCGTAGTATCACGGTGTTAGAACACAGGTTCAAGGACAACACACTATATTCTCAGTTAGTTGGTAACATATCTCGGGCAACTCTGAATTTTATTTTTTACGAGGCCAAACGAGCTTCTAATGTAGGTTATGATAGCTCAAAGCATGGTTGCACAATTCTGAAAACATATGGTCTCCCTTGTACTTGTGTCATATATAAGAATATGAAAAATGATAGCCTGATACGTATGGACGAGGTCTCTGGTCATTGGAAGAGACTAAGTTTTGACGATGATGGTAAAATGAAATCCGATAAATCAAATATCTCCATCTTGATCGAATGGGAAGCGATACAAGAAAGATTTTTGAAAGCAGATGACGCCACCAAACTCCACATCAAAGAACAATTGAGGAAGATTGCATTTCCGGAGACCATAGACTTGAAACCACCATCCCAACTGGTAAAAACTAAAGGGGCACCTAGGAAGGTGAAACCGACACCGGGCGATAGTTTGACTACGAGGAGTCCTTCATATTTTGAACACGTTGACAAAGTTTTTCCGGATTCACTTACTCCAAAATCTTAGAAAACTGCACCAGAGGATAGATGGATGTGCTTCCCTGAAATAGAACATCTCATAGCAAGTGCGTATGAGCGGGTGTGTATTAATCTTACAAGATACGGTTTCTCGGGGACTTATTTCCCTCTGCGCACTGCTCCAGCACCAGATCCCAATGATCGTGTCATATGTGTGTTGTAACTGGTTTTAAAACGAGGGTCGCCATCCTTAATTTTTATTCTAAGGAAGAGAATATAAAGGAATAACCCTAATTAAGTCAGAGATTCTAAGTTTTTGGACTCGTTCTTAGACGAAGGAAAGGTGTTAGGCACTCCTCATCTACCTTGTTCACAAGGATACTAGCGTTTAAATTTTCAACTTAGGAAATAGGTTTTTAATTTTTATTAGGGGAACTCGCTACGATTTTAGTCGTATGTCTACGTATCCTCTTATGAGGAATCAAAATCTCAATTCATAGTTCACAGTTGGTTGGTGTTTTTTTATGGATTACGAGGATATTTGAATTCCCTTTGTACTTAGTCTGGGTGTGTGAATAATGGATTTTGTTAGACGAAGTGCGCAGTCGATTAAAATACTTTCGTAATCCTTTTTGAAAATTGATTGTTGAGTAATTTGATTATGAAAATGATTTGGTGTTGGTTAAATATTTTTTAATATATTGATTATAAAAATATCTTTATTAGTGCATAATTTTAAAAAATAATTTTAATGCAATAAAATGAATATTTGGATGGGTTGAAAAAAATATTTG